ACGCGATTTTACTAAGTATTTGATAAAATAAAATATTCTTGTCACCTCTTGTTTTGTAAAATTTTTGACGTAGTTTTTTAATATGTAATTTTTATATCTTATTGATATACCAATTTGTAAATAAAATGATTTCAAAAAGTAAAAAATTTTACTCCGTAACCCGCAATTTGTAATCAAATTGGGGACGGAGGGAGTACAAGGAAGTACTACCTCCGTCCCAGAGTATTTGTCCACTTTCATTTTTACACACCATCCAATACACTTCTTTAATCCATTTTATCTTGTAATTTGTATATTAAAAAATTATAGAAATTATATATTAATAATCTATATGTTAAGACAAATCAAACAAGATCACACATGACTATATTTAGGCTTACATATTGAGAGAATTTGATGAGTCAAAGTGCTTAGATGAACAGTTCCAAAAGTCAAAACTGGACGAATATAGCGGGACGGAGGGAGTAATAACGTTAATTATACTCCCTCCGTCCCAAATTATTTGTCACATTTCTATTACTGAGATAAAATATCAAGTTTTTTCAAATCATTTTATTTATATATTGGTAAAGAAATAAAAAATAAAAATTACATATCAAAAAACTACATGAAAAGTTCTTTGAAATAAGAGGTGTCAAGATTATTTTATTTTATGAAATAATCAATGAAAATGTAGAAATAAAAAAAAATTCCCGCGACTGTTGAAAAAACATATGTGACAAATAATTTGGGACGGAGAGAGTAGAAAAGAACTACGGAGTATTTTTTTTTTTTTTTTTTTCTTCTCCCACGGAGCGGTGGAGATCATGTACGTACCTAGTGTGTGTGCGTCTGATTGGGAAGGCGTTCGAAACTGTGTTTCTTTTGCGTCATCACTGTAGTCATGCATTCATCCCATTTTCACTCACTCATGAATACTAATTACTCCTTTCGTCTCAAAATATTTGTTTAATTTTAATTTTTTTTGATCAAAATAGATAAATTTTGACATCAAGTTAAATAAAAAAGATATTATGTACTGATACAAAAATAATTTTTTAGATTTATTATGTAAAATATTTTTAAAATATTATTTTATCTAATTAGAATACGATATATATTTTATTTAATTATAAATCAAATGTTGAAAATAATTGATTGAAAAAATCAAAACTAAATAAATACTCCAGAACGGATGCAATATTAATTCTGAGCTCTACAAAATTAAATTGTACTCCCTCGATCCATTTCACATACACTAAGAGCATGAACAATGGCAAGACGAAAATGGAATGTCACACGGTGACATGGAACATTTTAACCAATAAAAAATGGTCCAGTCAGTGTGTGGCAAGTGCATGGAGTGGCAAGTTCTACAATGGCAAGTCATTATTTTTTATCATTTTTTACATTTTTTAATGTTTTTTAAACATAAAAAAATATTTTTATTATTTATTTTATTAAAAAATTATTCTACTTTCTTGTACATTTTTTTTCATAAAAAATTTTAAAAAAATTTATTTAAAAAAAAAAGGGAAGGATGAAGTGCCACTCTCATGCCTCACCAAGCAAGGCATTTTAGCTTTGCCATGTCATGATAAGAGTGGAAAAAGCTGCTGTGGCAATGCAAGGCATCCCTCCTCCACCGCTCTGTGGCAATGCAAGGCACATGCTCTAATACATTTCCACTTACACTCTTTATTACTTGCTTCAATCTCGCCAAAATGGATATAAATGCGTCTACCTCAATTGCCTTATACGTCTTATTCAATTGGACATTTCCCAAACCATATTGATTTTAATCGTTATCGTTTCTCCTCGATCAAATTTCTACACCTTCATTTCTTAAAAGTCAAAACAAGAAACGAATTGCAAGACGAAGGAAGTAATACTTCAAATAAAGAGAATGTCGGAAACCTAATAATGGTGATTAGGGTCCCGGACACAATTTGGATGGTTACCTGAGAGATGTGAAGTGATTGTTAGAATATACTCGTAAATAACTGTTCCTGGGCCACAACCACAAGCTTGAGCTTTTGGTTGAATTGGTTCCTTGACATGGTATCGGAGCCTCGTTGACTAAGAGGTCACGAGTTCAAAACTCAGCGCCACCCAGTTTAAAAAAAATTAAGGTTTCACATGCAAGACTCGAAAAAAATTAAGGTTTCACGTGCAAGGCTTGACAGTGATAAATAATAAATTTTTGATTTCAACTGCTCAATAGAGAATTAATCTATTCTTGATCTAGACAAAGATTCTAAGCAAATATACAAACATTTTCAATGTAGTACCTAAAATTGTTTATTCTCTACATAGTCGTACTTGAACAATTTCCAATGACAGGAACAATGTCCAGTGACGATAGACATTTACTTGAACATTGTTTAACAAAAATAGAATAGTGATACTACATTAAAAAATTAAAACATACTCCCTCCGTCCCATAAAACATTTCCTGTTTCAAAAATGGCACGCCTTTAAAATGAGCAATTTTAGTATTATTTTTTAATTATGACTAATCTATTCTACACATCTCATCCTACTCTTTTATAAAGTAAGGGCAAAATTAGAAAATAACACCAAAATTACTCATTTTAAAGGCGTGCCATTTTTGAAACAAGAAAGATTTTATGGGACGGAGGAGGTATGATACTACATTAGAAACTCACTGTCTTTTAGTCCTATATAGATAAATTTTCTCTCATACTAACTATATCCGCCCTGCTGGATTCACAATTTCCTTTTATGCCCCTATAAAAAAGTTTACATGCCGGAGGGAATCAACTAACAAACGTGCCTTTAATGTTGATCAAATTGCACATGATTTGGGTAGGAAAAGCTTAATGTCCCCTTTTTCTCACCCAATTAAAAATAACACTAATAAGGTAATGCAAAAAAAAAAAGGTCCATTAATATATGTATTTCAAATATTATCCACCTCTTTTGCCAAATCAATGTTTCAATAATATTCCCTACGTTACGTTATTAATAATCACTAACCACCTTGGCTTTGCTTTGCATATTTCCTATCCGGCCACTATATATATGGTCATTAATTATTAATGAACGATTTTTTTAACATTAATTAGAGTTATACGGAGTAATACTATACAAATGAGGTACAAAAATATTATAGTCCCGTTTGATATCAGCGTTAGGAATTAGCATTAGCGTTTTAAAAAGGTTATTGACGGTAGTCTTTAGCATTAAAGTTTTCAGAATTAATATATACCATTAAAATTTTATCCAAATTACTAACGCTAATCGAAAACAATCTTCCCAAACAAGGCCTATATTTACGGTATAGATTAGGGACTAATTTCTTACCAAACGACGAGTAATTAATTTGTACTACCTCTTTCCTAAAATGAATGTCACATATTGCATTGTGTACATGTAAACTCTTACGACTTTTCAAATTATTTTAATTAAAAATTAACATAGAAATAAATAATACAAATTACACTTTTACACTCAAAGTAAATAAAAGTTCCCCAATATGTATCATGACGAATTATTATCATACATACTCCATATATTTTTTCTTATTTTACTCATTGGTCTTAAACATTATCCTAAATGTCTTTTTTAATCGGAATTAGTTTTTTTTTCTTATAAATTTGTAAAATGATTTGGTTGAGAATTGAAGCAAGTTCCTAACAAAATGGAAGAGATGTTGATAAGGGGTGACAGCTCGACATACAAGAATAATGCAACGGTTGCAAATGCATAAAAACTTGTCCACTACATACAGGTGATACAGTACATGAAATCCACAGAACATGCCCAACCAAACAACATCCTTTCTCCTCCCAAAAAATTAAAAATAAAAATAAATCATGTTCTAGGGTTCTTCGATCCCGATAATTACTTGAGATAAAATAAATACATACGATCAATCTCTAGTTCCATAAAAAATCTTAAAGAAGACATATAAACAAGTTCCACATTGTCTTCGCTAAATGTGTAAGTGGAGTCGAATATGACCATAATACCCTTTTTCATTCTCTATTAGTTGATCACTTGAATAGGAGTGTGGAACATTTATGCTTAACATATGATCTTTTTACAATTGAAGTCGTCATATCCCGACTTGATACAACAAGCTAAGTTTATATCATGACTTGCACATCATATATATATATATATATATATATATATATATATATATATATATATATATATATATATATATATATATATATATATATCACAGAGACAATATTTATCTTAAATTTACCCTAACACACCTCTTCTGTATATTTTAAACCCTTTTCCACTCTTTTCTTGATTCCACATGCCTTACCCTTATCCAAATCATCCCTCCTTAACTTTTTCCCACTTAACTTTTTCCTCACTTTCATTTACCTGTTTTTTCTTTCTAGCTAGATCGCACATCATTTTCAATCATTGCTATGGGTAGATTTTCAAGTGCAAATTCAGAACCACACCAACCAAATGCTCCCTCCATCTCCATTTATTTATTCTAATTTGACTTTTTAAGTTACATTTTACCATAATTTTAATATAGCTTTAAAATAAATATCTAAAAGTTACTCTGTATAAAAATATGATTCAGACGTATGTTCTCTTCAATTTATTTTTTTATTTATTTCTTATTTTTATTTGAATCAAATTAAATTAGATCAGATCAGAGATAATTTTAAATATAACTACATTCAGATCAGAACTTATTCTAATCAGGTCAGAAGAAGATAACATGTCCAAAGTATATATTCAATTTTGATATTTTAAAGTCAATCAAGATTAACCTTTGATCTATAATTAAATTAAAATTATATCGTATATTAATCAGATAAAAAAGTATTTTGGAAATATTTTACGAAATGATTTTACCTTTCTTAAATGAGGTAAAAACAACAAACAAGAAAATTAAATAGAATATCAATGTTGGGACTTGGGAGTTAGAAAATTGGAAGCAAAGTTGATGTTTGTCTCCCTACTCTACTTTCAAATTTTCCCGGGTTCAAAGATGAAGAGATTTGATTATTGTTCATCTCATAATTCTCATTAATTCATTCATAAACTTTGTACATAAAACTCGTCTCTCATCTCTGATCTCTCATTATGATCATTAATTCTTCATCCCCATTATTAACCTTAATCACTGCTAATCTCAGCAGCTCAATGCCTCGTACGTCACCGGAATGGGGCGGCGGCCGAACCCAGATTGAGCTAACAAGCTCCCAACAATGGCAATATCTCGACAGAACACTCCTTGATACACCGCCGCTGACGGCGGCTGCGGTGGCGCTTGGTCGATCCTAGCAGCCGTCTCCTCCGATTCTGATGCCCTCCTTTGTCTCTCTGCTGCTGCTGCTGCTGATAATTCTTCCTCTTCTTGAATGAGAATCTTCGTTAAATTGAAGTAAGCTCTCTGAATCATTCTGTACAGACATAAAGACGTCATCTTTGCTCTGTCTCCGGCGGAATCGACCTCTTCCTCGTCGGAAAACTCCACCCTCTCCACGAAGCTTGCCGCCTTCTCTGGTTTGTGTCGGAGATTAAGCAACAAATGGGCCCTCTCCAATTCCGTTCTTGAACATCCCCTCCTCAATCCCATCAACCCATAGTAATCCGCGTTCCCTGTCTCGCCGGAAGCCACCCTCTGTTTCAGTTCTTGAATTTTCGCAGCCAAAGAACAGAGCTTTCCCGGGATTTCTCTGTACTGTACGGTCTGCCGTTTCCACACCGGTCCCGGCAATGTCCGGTCGCGCAGCATCGTGTTGTACAGGAGTTTTAGGTGCTCCAGATCGTGAAGGCTGTCCGGTAAACAACGGATCGTCTCGAACAGAGAAGCTCTGGTTCTGAGAGCTTCAATGGAAGAAGGTTCCAATGCCAGAGTCCGATTACAGTCGGAAATCGCGTCAGCGATTCTCCCGGCGGACTGGAACGCCGATGCTCTGAGCGCGTAGCACTCTGCCAGGAATCCCCGAGGTGCGGCGCGGCGGCCGTCCACGATCTTGGTGAAGTGGCGTATGGCTTCGGGGTAGAGCCCGGCGTCCATGGCGGCGACCGCCGACGTCTTTCGGCGGAGGAGCTGTTTAATGTGGCTGAGCAATTGGGAGGTTCTCTCTGACTCTGTTTTTGGCGCCGTGGGGGGCTGGTTCGAGAAGTCGCCGGAGATGGAAAATTCGGCGAAGGAAAAGCTGTCGTCCGACCTACAAACGCTCTCCCGCCGCAAAGCGTCGGAGGCGATGCGTTTTCCGGTGAGTAGAAGGGCCACGGCGTCCTCCATTAGCCCCAAATGGTAACAAGCTTGGCCCAATACGAAATACCTGACCAAAAAAACAGAGACCAAATTTAGCCTTCGCTCACATAAAGTCATCAATCATGGAGTCCTTCCAAAATAAAGTTCCCTGCTTTTTTCATCTTTATAATGAAAATGTGTCATGAAAATGTGTCTATTTCTCATTTCTCATTCTATATAAATTGATTTTTGAGCAATAATTAATTGTCACATAATTTTTTTGTGTGCAGAAAATGTTACTCCCTGCATAGTTATGTGTACATTTTCATCATACAACTGAAGTTAAGGGTAAAATATACAAGGTTAGCATTATCATTTTGAAAACGCTATCTATGGATAGTGTTTAGCGTTAGCGTTTTCAAAGTAATTTGTATCGTTAAAATTTTATCCAAAATCCAACAGTAATCTTTAACGCTATTCCCAAACAAATTTTGTGTTTAGTTAAAAATGTAAGATTAAACATTTAAGAACAATTTTTTTAGAAGGAAAAAGAAGTAGATTTTAGAATACTATAAATACATAAAATTCGAGCTTATTTGTCTATTTGGAAAGTTACATTCTTAAAATTAGATTGGTAAAAACATAATAAGCCATAATAAAAATGGCAAATTGAATAAAAATGGTAAGTTGGAAAAAAATGAAGGAAAAAGGGGAGAGAGAAAAAATCACGTGGAAAATACCTCCAGAGGGCATCCTTTTGGCAGCTTTTACAGAGGCCACCCACGATCTTCTTTTTCAAGTCGGAGACAGAGAAGCACTTGAAAGCCGGCGAGCGGTCGCCGGCGGAGGAGGAGGAGGAGAGGAGCTTCAACCGCTCCCTCCGGAACGACCCGTCGGAGGACGAAGAATCCGAAGAAGACGAGCAGGACGACGCCGTTTCATCCAGAGATTCCCTGTTCAGACTGGGAATGTGTTCCCGCAGCATCTTGGCGACGTCCTTGAACCGCCGGAGAAAAAGCAAAGTCCGGGCTTTCAGCTCCGCCGCCAACTCGAGGCGAGGAGAGAGAAGAAGCGCGGCGTCGAGAAGATTCAGGGCCAACGCCATGGCCGCCGGTTCTTGAGTGGCAATCAGAACTTTCGCGTCCTTCAAATATTTACCGGCAATCTGCACGAAATTTCAAATCAATTCAATTACGTTACGTTAATTATTTTGTTGGGTGGAGACTAATAAAATAAATGTTTTAACTATTAGTGAAATTAAATGACATACCATTCGGTTGGTGAGCCACCAATGAGGCTTCTTCTCAGTGCCGCCGGAGAGGCAGAGAGGTTCGGCCATTGTTGCAGGGGAGGGAAGGAAAGAATTGGAGGAAACAATTAAACTGCCATTTCTATTTTCTTGATTTGATATTAATGGAAACTATACATATATATACATGTGTATAAATAAATAGACAGAGCGAGAGACTATGATAAGGACGAGTCCATATATATATATATATATATATATATATATATATATATATACTCCGTATATTACTTCCCTCACCAAAACATTTTCTGTTTTGACTTTTGAAATTTCACCAATGTAAACGATAACAATATAATTTCACCAATGTCTCCCACCCCCCCTTGTCCACTAAAAAAGGCAAAAAAATTTAAAAAAATAAGTAAATAAAAATAAAATAAATATATGTGGTGAAAAAGGGGTGGTGTACATTTGGGGTATACCTTTTGGTGTACCACTAGCATTGCTCAATTGGAAAATGTCAAAATATGTAGATTGTAAAACCTGCTGAGTTGAGTTTGGTTGAAACGTTTTATGAGACAAATAAGATGTGAAAGTTGAAAAGTTTTACCAGATAGAGGAAGTACTTTTTTTCTCTCATTTTATTCGTCCAATTTTATTTTTTAAATCAAACTAGATACTACTCCTTATTCCTGTCAAGTATTTATGCACTTTTGACTTTTTTCAGTTAGTCATTATTAACATTTGATCTATAATTAAATTAAAAAATTGTATATTAATTAAATAAAATAATATTTTAAAAGTTTATATATTAAATCTAGTAAAACTATTTTGTATCAATATTTTTTTTTATTTTAAGATTAAAATTTACCAATTTTGACAAAAATAAATTAAAAGTGGATAAACACACTAGATTTACCAATTTTGACAAAAAAAGTAAAAACCATTTGTCTTTCGATAAAGTGCTTCATTCCTCTCAATATGTATTGAGTCCTTCTTTAGTGCAGCTTAGGTGCATACCATTTTTATAAATCTTCTCACATAAAAACTTTTTTTTATTTTTTAATTTAAAAAACAGATGCTTACTTAAGTAATAATGAAATTTTATTTTCCTCATATATAAATCCATGGTGGAACTTAGGTACACCATAGAATTTGTCATTTTTAATAGATAAAAATTAAATTTCAAAAATATGTGTGTATACAATCTAATAAAGTTGTGTTTACTCTAATATACATAAAAACTTTTATTTAATTGAGGTCCAAAATTTATTCAATTTGAATAGAAAATGTAAATTAGACTAATACATTAGGGCAAGAAAGGTACATAAAGAGAAAAAAAGTTGAAACCTCAATATCGGGTTCAGAATACTGGGATCCAAATAGGTAAGAGGTAAATTAAATTATTCAAGTAAAGATGTAGAGAGAATGAAGTTTGTCCTCACTATGTGCAAGAATATGATGCATATGATAGAGGAAATTACCTAGAGGTGACACTGATTTTATCAAATTAACTTTTTGGTCTCTCTAATTTAAATAAGGTAATAGATTTTCTTAAATTTTAATTATTGTAATGACTGGGAGAAAACATTTCGTCTAATTTTACATCCCTAAGTGTTAATAAATGTATTTTTTCTATTTTACCCTTAATGTTTTATGATAATAATATCTTACTCTCTTTTAGGTTTCTTTGTTTCTGTTATCTTAAAACGTTTTTTTTAAATTTGTTCTAGAAATTAAAATTGTATTACAAAAATCAACATCGTTTATATGGTATAGAAATAAATGAAAAAAAGAAAATCCTAAAAAAATTAAAATACAGAGTAAAATAAAATAAAGCAAGAATTGATCTTTCCCGAGAAAGTCTCCAAGATTCGTTTTTTACGAGTAATACTTTATACGGAGGATAATAAATGAAAAAAAAAATCTCATTTTCTTTTTTGATTAGGTCCTTATTTCATTTAGTTTTTATATCATACAAAAATTTGAAATTTTAAGACTATTTTCTTAAAGATATTTTTTAAAAAAGCTTTAAAATAAAAGAAAACAAAGTGAAAAAAGAAAAACAAAAAGAGGAAACAAAGAAACCAAGAAGTTATTACCATAAAATATTAAGGGTAAAATAGGAAAAATACATTTATTAATGTCTATAGATAAAATATTGGACGAAATATACAATCTCAGTTATTCTGGCAAAATTTAACTCTCTTTTGATTTTTTTGAAAATAGATGGAGTTGAGTGTTATTTTGACGAAACATGTGTCAACCACAAGTAAAATTTTAAATTTTATAACACTTCAAATAATTTAAATTAAAAATTATTTTCATTTCAACCTCGTAAATAACAACTTAAAATTTAAAGTAGGACGATGGTGTAAAAAATTACGAGAAAGGCGTATAAAAATAATGAATGGTGGGAGGCCAGCTGGTTTGACCTGATCAGCTAGTAAGAGTCCCCATCTTTCCTTGTATTTCACCGCTGGCATTTTTTCCCTCATGTACGAAATCCTAATAGGTAAAAATATTTAAATATATATGGAAATTATTTACTCTCTATCTCGCTATCTCTGATTTCACCCGACCCTTTTATGGTAGAATAAACCTAAGGTCACCAAAATATAATACGGAGTACTTGATTGGTACACCAGACAAACAAAGATACTTAGTGTTCGTAATCATAATCACTAAGTGTCTGTATTTGTCTGGCATACAAATAGAATACCCCATTTTGTTGTATCTCTAAAAGAAGTGGGCAAAAAAACCGAGCTAACATGGTACCATACCAGACCGTAATGATCCCAAATTGTCTATAATGTTTTTAAACGGGATAGATTTTTTTCATCAAGAACCAAAACCGAACCGATATCAAACGGGACGGGACTGTGATACAAATATTTAAAACCGATTATCACCGATTGAACCGTTCATCAAAGTTATATACGGGGCATCTCAAATAATTATTTGTCTACTTCATCTTATCGTGTATAGATTACTTTGTATGGTATTATTAATTTTTAAAATTCTTTCATTGATATTGTAGATTTTAAATTTATTACTACTCTTACCATTATTTTTTAGAGTTATTAATAGTCTGATATTATATGGATTGAAAAAAAAAATCTATTTTTAAAAATTTCGTTATCTTTTATTTTTTATGTTTATGATCCATTTAAATTTAAAATCAATACTTCTATTTAACAAAGGTGTGATCCTTCCATTCTAGATAACAAATTGAACTCGTTATCTATCCCGTTTATAAATACTATAAACGGTTCGGTACCTTACCGGCCCGGTATGGTACCATGATAGTTCAGTTTTTTTCACCCATATTGTTCGACACCTCAATTCTAAAGACTCTTTTAAACTTTCTAAATATTCATTTTTGTATAAGACTCTTCTTTAGATGTTTCAATTTTTTATTTCGTTTTTCCATACATTTATTTTTATTTTCTTTATTTTCTTTTTGAACTGACCAAAAATATTATTCTAGAAAACAAAAGGTTAAAATTTTTAATTTGAGATAGATGGTGTATATTTTAATTTTTAATTTTTATTTTAAACACAAATTTAAAAAAAATTAAAAAACTTTTCTAAGACAAGGAAACAAATAGATAAAAAGGTTAAAAAAAAGGGAAAAAACAAATTAATAAACGAAAAATAAGAAATGAGCATGTGTGCCCCCTATGGCCTAGAAAAAACAGACATTAATACTCTTTCTTCGCCCGAAAATGATCAGAGAGACTGGGTGTGCAATATTTTCAAACCGCAAAAATTTAAAAAATAAATTTCAAAACAGAAAAGATATTAATGTCAATCTTTCAAACCACATTATCGAGGCACTGAAGGTATTTGATCGAGTATGACAATATATGGAAGCAAAGTGTATGGAGTGATCAAAAAAGATGGACGCCATTAAATGCATATGTATGGCCGGCCGGCCAGATACGACGACGTACGTACTGCTGGATAATTAATTAAGGTTGCGTGAATATATATATATATATTTTGTACTACGTAGTAGATGAAATAAATGTGGCCTGGACTCTGGATGGTCTTCACTTCATTCACTCTTCTCCTACTACTCCCTTCGTAATGGATTTGTAGATCAGAAGAGAGCAGCCTATTTTTCTCTGTCAAACATGCATGCAGTAGATTTGCTTAAATTGTGTCACTCTTTAACCACAAACTAAAAATAATTTTAATTAATCAAATATTTTAAAATTTTGATATTTCAAATTATATTTTAAAATAAACCAATTTTAATAAACTTACTTATAACTGAATATACTCTTTCTAAAATTCGCGGTCAAAGGGTGGCATGGTTTGACTAAAAAAAATTAAATTGTGTCAATCTTTTAGTGACGGAGACCGGAAAGAGTATAGTGAGTAATACTCCGTAGAAAATATGATAATATGTCTCTCCTATATGAAGCTCGAGACCCCATGATAAGTACGGGTGGTGTCTCTCATCATCGCTGTCAAGAGTCAAACTTTGTAATTATTTTCTCTTGCAGTTTCTATTGACAACCTAATTAAATAGGATATCTTGAGTTATATTATAGAGGATGGCATGTATACATCTAGCAAATTTTATGAGAGGAAGCGAGATTAGCTCAGAGGTTAATTCACGGGTAGTATAGCATTTGCAAGTATTTTTGAAAAAAAATGCAATTTATACGTACCACCATAAATATTATTTTACGGATCATCGACTATTATGAAAAGACTCCAGATGACAACGTAGCTCAAGTGGTTCTGTGGGTCAAGCTCCAAAACACATGGTCTATATACACAAGTGATAATTGTCTTTATTGTCTTTTAGTGCTATTTACGTAAATTCCTTGAGTATATATTTCCTAATTATTTAAGTATTTTAAATGTATATCATGAAGTTTTATTTTTTAAAAAAACAATGACTCCGAGTAGTACGTATTGCGAGTGTCCCAATCTTTTGCAACACGTCAAAGGCTTAGCTTGCATGGCTTTAATTAGAGACCGATTAATAGTATTAGTATTGCGAGTTACGATTCGACTATTTTGGGACGACACACAATTTCAACATTACTTAGCTTGTACGCTTAGTACTTATATGTAAGGAAAATGCTTGGTTCACAAACAAAATGGTCACAAACTTCACAAACTTACTATTTGTGAA